GGGCGGGGGGTTGCTGGAGGCCGCCGGGGGAAGCGCCGCCTTCTGCCCCGCCGTTCCGGGGAGAAGCGTTCCGGCCCGCCTTCCTGCTTCGCGGCCCCTTCGCAACGCCTCGGCCCCGCTGAGGCGGGGGAACGCTGCTAACCCCAACTCTCTGCTTTGCTCTCCCCCCTGCTGTGGTGGCCGGCTTTTGAAGCGTTGGTCTCACCCATTGACTCCTCAGTCTACGTTTTCACTGACTACATGCCCTGTATGCAGCCCAGCCCAGCCCCTGGCTTCTTTACTTTTCATTCCATCCAGGAAGAGCACACACCAACGGCTGAAACTTCCTCAGCCTGACAAAGGGTTTTTGAACCCAAAAGCTTGCTTAATAATTATTTTCCAACTATGTGGGTTGGCCTAATAAAAGAGATCAGATACACCCAAGGAACTTTGCCTGTGTCCTTAGACCACCACCGCTACAACCTACACTCCCATAAAATCCGTGACACCTGCAATAGAAATGAGGCAGCCTGGTCCTGCACTCGCACAGGCCAGGAGCTTGATCAGGCAAAGCAGAGCCTGTATATGGCCAGCCACTGACACAGACAGGTCCACAACGCTGGACATGGGTATCACAAAGCAGATGCAGTCATGTTCCACATGGCTGATGAGCCAATGTAGGTCAGAGCTCGTGCTCCTTGCCCGCTAGGAATTGGAAGTGTACAGTATTTAACAAAGGAAAGCGTAACAAACCCCATCACATTACCTACCAAACAATGATTGACATACCCTATCCTACTTACAAATTCACGACAAGGTGCCAAGTATGAAAAAGCAGAGACCAACAAGTAGCTTATCAAAACTTTCTGTCCCTGTACTCAGAGTAGGTGCATGAAGCCGCTAGGGAAAAAGGGTGGTGGCAGTAGTCACTTGAGTGGGTGCATCACGGATCATTCAAATCTCTACCTCTGCTGTGTCCTGGCTGTTATCCAGAAATACAGCACAAAATTAATCTGAAACAGATGCTGCTGTGTTACCTTAAGACTTCCACCAAGTAGTTGCAGTTTGCTTTTCAAACTCCCAAAGCCATGCTTCACCAACATCCACCAGCTGTTTAGGCAATATTTAGAGCAGTTTTCTGTGATCCAAGTGTCCAGTGAAAAAATTCATGAGCCACAGCAGCAGAGGGTTCGAAAGGGTGCCCAAGAAGAAGAGACGGCTTGCTTACACCATTAGCATTCATGCTGTTTACTGTGCAAACAGCTTTTCCATTAAGAAAACAAGTGCTTTGAAAATTCTAGCACTAACAACTTTTTCAGATCAAACTGCTTTGATAATAGCAAAGCTCTCCCAGTGTCAGAGTTAAGAAAAGTTCCCTTTTTCAGTTGTAGAGAGCAAAGCTTACTATAGGTAGGCAAAGAATAGGAATATAAGTTCTTCCAATACAACTTGGAAAGCCCAGGCATACAAACCTGTTGGTAACTTCCTGAGAACTGGCAAGCCGGAACACCCAACACAAGTAACTTTTAAATGGTGAAGCTGACTTTCATTGCAACAGCCCCCATAGTTGCTCTATCCACACAGCTGGTTTACAACTGCAAAGTAGGAAGCGTAGGTGGTAAATGAATAAAATGGCTGTCATGTGTGTGCGCTGCCTGTACAGCTAAGGATTAAGTTTAGACAGCTTTCTGGGTAAGTACTCCAAGTCATCCTGAAGTTCTGCAGCCACTGCTGGTCATTTCAGGTCAGCAGGACAGTCCCTTCCCACCAGCCCATGCTCGTTCTGCAGACTGAAAACAGATGCTCTGAGGCAAAGCTATTCCAAGAGATGTCCCTTGTGAAGCATCTCCTTAGTCTCTCTTGTCCTCATCTTATTTCTTGTTGCCCTCCAGGTTCAAGATATTGTAACCGTTGTTCCTGGTGTGCCACAGTCTTGCCAGAACTGCTTGTTAACGATAGTGGTGTGTTTCCAAAGCTACAGCTGTCCAGTAGTGGGAGGTCCTAGACACCCATAATCCTGGCCACTATTTTTGTGGTTCAGAATACAGAAGGATTATGGGTGAGACAGTAGTTTGAAAATGGTACCATGGAGCAGAGAGGAACTGGGATTTTTAGAGTTTGATCTCTGGCTGTGGAAGATAGCTGCCTTCTGGGACTTATATCAATGTACACCATAGAATCCCACAATGCAGCATACAGTAGCAGCACAAAGGACTATGGGGTACCTACAGAAAATGCCAAGCAATTCTTTGGGGGAAATACCTGTCTGGAAGCACCAATGGGTAGCCAAGTAAAATCTAGCTGTTCATTTGGGTGCCTTTGTAAAGCATCAACAGCAGAACTTCTGCATCAAGGTAAATCCATTCATATAGACAAGGCTTTATTAAGATAAATGACAACCTTTTAAAACAATATTAAACACTGCTTGGTTTGACAGTTTTATTAAATACACTACATTGCTACCTTGTATTCCATAATGTCACAGACTTGTTGAAAAAATGTACTGCTTAGAAAAACCATTTGCAAAATTAAAGCTGAAATAAGAAAATACATATTACACATCTCTGGATAATCTGCAGGTTCTTGTTATCAAAGAATGCCTTTTACTCACCCTGTACATGTGCTAAAATAAGAGACATACTGTGTGTGTGTGTGTGTGTGTGTGTGTGTGTGTGAGAGAGAGAGAGAAACTAACTAGTTTGGCTAAAGGAAAAAAACAGCGCAATAATGTTTAACCATAAATTTACAGCATCTAACAACAGAACAATAGAAACCTCATACTTTTATTAATATGTATTTTAAAGATACTGTTCCAAATCCATTATATTTGTTATCTTCCAACCACAAGAGACAGTAATTATTTCCACTGGTCACCATCCTTACAGAGCAGAGAAGCAAACTTCTTTTCAAAATGAGTCAATCCATATTTACATTGCGACATGCAAAGGGAAGATACTATATATATTCCTACAATCTGATAACAATAAATAGCTGAGCAACAGAAAGTCCCCTCAACAATATAACTGTACAGCCTTTTTCTGTGGTGGAAGTTCTCAGTGCATGGATTATAAAACAGCATACAATTCAAAGACAGAAACAAAGGATTTTGCAAATTGATTAAATTTCCAACTATTAAATCTTTTGGACAGCAGTGTCTAGCGCCGAAACCAAAGCCAGCTATTGAGTAGCCAGAAAGCTACAGTAATTGAGTACATGATCATTTCTCTTTTAGCACGCTCTTTGTTTTCTTCTTCCAGAAGTTGTAGGCGACGATTGAGTTTGATTATCTAAAAAAATATAAAATAAATAAAAGTCTTTAAAGTGCCAGGACCTCCAAAGGACATTTTTGAAAGCATATATACACTCAGCATTCTAAGGCTGAACTGTACAATGTCACTATTTAGACTCTGTCCTTCACTGCCTAAGGGCCAAATCTGTAAGAATTAATGGAACTGTGTTACACTGCCAACTCAGTAAAGACCATAGGATTTAGCCAATGAGTCTTATGAGGCTTTCCATTTCTTTTCATTTACTTCATGTTCAAAAGACCCCCAATCCCAATCAATACTCAGATAACAGTTGCATCTGCTCTGAAATTACCGGTTAATCTGAATCATGGTAACACCAACATAGTCCTATATAAACACATGCTCAAAAGATAGGCCTCCTGCCCAAGACTTCACACTCAAGCTAGCAAGTGAGTAGGGCAAATAGAAATGGAGGCAAAGCGAGTAAATTGGAGAACGCAGAGCGGGTCAGTGGTAAGACTAGGAAAAGAAGCTAGGTCTCTTTACTACCAGTCTGAAGCCCTATTTGCCGCATCACATTAATGAGAAGAAAGCTAAGGAAATGAACAAGCAAGCTGGGGAGAGGGAGATGAAAGAGTTTAAATAGTTAAGGCTGTTATACAATGCACAAAGTGATGGAAAGACAATTGTTCAAACTATTTAAAAATAATAAGACAAAAGGCTTGAAAGAAAGTATTATGAAAAGCAATTTTATGTTGTTAGTTGAATGTAGTAAAGAAGACTTTTCTGCCTCTAAATTTTACATGAATTTTGGTCTCTTTAAGGCAGTGGTTCCCAACCTTTTTTTGTTATGACCCGCTGCTGGGAGCGGAGTGTGGAAGTGATGGCGGCACGAGGGCATGGGAGCTCCCAGCACATGGCGCGGCTTGTCCTTTGTGTGCGGTGCTGCTGGCACTGCCCCCTCGACTCTCATTTGGGTCGCAACCTGAGGTTGGGAACCGCTGCTTTAAGGTATAGTTGCACCTTTCCAAGTCTTAAATTTTCCAGGTGAGAAAATACAACAATACCCAAACTTTATCAGATGAACTGAGGTAGCATTTGTGTAATTTATAGATTTTTCAGAAACTTGCAGAAATTCTTGGCTCTTCCTTTAACTGTCAAGTAGTCATGCAATATTTAGCTCTTCTTTTACTCAAATCAGTCAACACTCCAACAGTCTTTTACCATATTTATTACTATTCTCTGAGCTCTTTTATTTGCCAACATCTTTTTGAGTATTCCAAGAAGCCAAGCCACTGGTGCACTATGGTACAGTAAAGATCAGTCACTCTCTTCAAGATAGCTGAAAGACATCTAATCTTTTTCTTTATCTCATGGGCCAATGTACTTTCAATACCTGTCTTCTTAAAGAAGCAGCATCCACAACTGTCATGTCATCTGGCGTTCCCTCAATTGTCACGTCCAAGTTTGAAAGACCAGATCTATTAGATGAGAAAGAAAAAGGTTAGATTATGTTCTCTGCCAGTGGGGATCAACCACTAATTTGGCAGGCAAACCTCTGCACCCTCAAGTGCCCTTCATCTGCCTGATATGCTTCTGATTTCTACCCCCAGCCCTAAGCTTCCCGCTTGATCTGCTGTTCTGCTTTCTTCTCCCTTTCCTATGCTCCCTGCCCAATTTGTTGCTTTGCTTTCTGCTTCCTGCCTTATCTGCTGCTGTGCTGCCTGTCCCCTCCCCGATCTGCCATGTCCTATACAGGCTTCCCATGCCACAAGGCTGGCCACCCCTGCTATACATGCTGGGTGAAGAGCAACCAAAACACTATTCACTGTTTGTTTTACAACTGTCCCAGCTTGTATAAATACATGTAACGCATTCAAGGCTTTTACAGGCTTTCCTCAATTTACGCGGGTTCTGTATATGCGAATTCGCTCTTATGCAATGAGCATTTTTAGACCCATAATTCATTATAAGCAAGGTAAATTCACTTATGCAATTGGCATAGGGCCCCCCCTTGCCCAAGCAGGTAAGTCTGTGGGGGGACTGTCCCAGCTTGTATAAATACATGTAACGCATTCAAGGCTTTTACAGGCTTTCCTCAATTTACGCGGGTTCTGTATATGCGAATTCGCTCTTATGCAATGAGCATTTTTAGACCCATAATTCATTATAAGCAAGGTAAATTCACTTATGCAATTGGCATAGGGCCCCCCCTTGCCCAAGCAGGTAAGTCTGTGGGGGGAGGGGAAAGGGCCATGGGGCTGGGACCCCACTCACCCCAGCCCCTACTGCAGCAGCCCTGGGAGCAGCCAGCACCAGCTGCCTGCAGCCACTGAGCGACACCATGCTCTGCCTGTCCTCCCACACCTGGGCTCCGCCTGTCCCCACTCACCCCAGTTCTTCCCGGGGGGCACATGCCTCTGGGACAACAGCAGGCTGCCACTGCAGGCTCAGGCTGGCAGCAGCACCAGGCTCTTCCCAGTGCTCAGGGCAGGCCGCACCAAGCGCCAGGAACAGCCCAGTGCCACCACCAGCTCCAGCTGCAGCCTGCTGTCATCCCACATGCAGATCTGGGGGCATGGGCCTCTCGAGAACTCAGCACAGCCCCGAGCCCACAACCCTCCCAGGGGATGCAAAGCAGAAAGAGGCACCCCCCCACCGCACCCACTGACAGTTCCCTCTGCAGTTAGTGCCAGCCGCTCCCGGGGCCAGGGTGAGAGTGGACAAGCTGTGCCACGTTCCGTGCCCCCTGGGGTTCCGCTTGTTCCCACTCACCTCAGCCCCTGCTGTAGCAAGAGCTGCACCCCGCTCCACCCCGCATCCACTGACAGTTCCCTCTGCTCTGCTCCCTTGTGCAGCCTCGGGAACAGCACCCCTCCCCTAGCCCTTCCCTAGTCCCAGCCTCACTCCCTCCCTCCCTCACTGCCATGGGAACCTATCTTTATTTGTTACATTATAAAATGGGTTCACTGTATGTGAATTCAATTTATCCGGGAACACATGTACTGCATAAATTGAGGGAAGCCTGTATTCAGTAAAGCAGCAAGGCATGTACTTAAATCCTATTGACTCCAGTGTCCACATAGTTTTCAACCTGGCTGCATGAGGACCTTTAACGCTTTTCAAGTGTTTTTGTAGATTCTTTGCAAAGGAAGAGACTTCGAGCAATCTTAAAATCAGGCATCCCAGGTAAGTCTGTACTTGCTTGCTTATTAGAAACTGAATATAGCTTGAACCCAAACCCAAGAATGCCCCAAAGACATTTAAATATCTGACCGTGAAGTCAGATACTTAAAAAGCTAAGAGAAGACGCAACAAAAATACATAAAATACCTATAACTAATTGCTTATTTTGACAAAAATTATTCTGAGAAAGTCTATTAGCTTGGAAACTTGACAAGCAGAGAAAAACTAAGACCATATGGCTATGACAGTCTGCTAATGAAATTATCTTGTACTTTACAATGACAACAACCCAAGTAAGTGTGCTAACTGAATCTCAATTCAAATTATATAGCTACATAGCTTTTCATTTGTCAAGCAGTGCTTTTGTCCAAATTGGTTAACCCTGATCAATGCACATTTATTTGAGGAACCTACTGAATAAATGTACTTGGCTCATCAAAAGCTACTTCATAATCAGATTGTCTTCCAGCAAACACTAGTTATAAAAGGCAGCTTTGGGTAGTATGATTGGACCTGAAGGTCTCTCTTGCTTGGTTTAAAAGTACATTTTCCTATATTGATATTTTTTCCTCCTCCTTTCCCATGATGACACATCAATGATCCATATAAATAGTGGAAGAAACTGATTTACCCATGGAAAAGTGAATAAGTAAAAGTGAATAAACAAACTGCTTTCCAATGCATAAAAACTGAAAAAAGGGGAAGGTTGTATATCAACTGTAGATTTTTAATAACAATTAATAAACCAACATTTCAGATGCAAGTGGGATTCCTTAAAGCTGACGTGATGGCTTTAGACAGGAGATGGTCTTTTGCATTTGATACTTTTCTGGGCCATGTGTAGTGAACACTTTTCAACACCTGAATTCTTAATATATTGAGAATTCATAAATATTTCCCAATGTGATGTTGGTTATCAAAAAATCTCCCTTGCCAATTCTCTGTTTCTTAGAACTGCATTGGGTCCTTGGAACTTTGATAATAAGCCCTGAGAGCCACTGGCTGAAATAACTCTGCTCCATTAGCAACAACCTTCCCCCAACCCACCCTGCAAAGGTTTAGGGACTATAGTGAACTCCTAAGGCACGTCCCCAGGAGCAGGAAAGTGTTTCCCCAGGGACAAACAACAACGGCACACATTTGTGCTGCTACCACTTGTCCCCAGGCATGCTCCTGCATGCGCACTCTGGTGTGAGGCAGATTGCCCTGGGTAGGGTAGAGGAGGCTCCTGGGGGCCCCTCGGGGTTGCAGCAATGATGATCCAGGTATGCGGAGCCTGGCCAGCAGCAAGGGCACAGCTCTGGCCAACAGGCTCCGATTTCAAATGGCACACACTGTAGCCGCGTGTGCCACTCTACTTTTTTCTGGCATTTTTTTTTTTTTTGATACCAAGATCTCCCTGTGTAAAAAAAACAAAACAAAACCAACCCATGGCACTGCAACTCAGCAGTGCAGTGAACGCATACACATGCAGTTTGGGGCACTGCAGATCGCACATGTACACCTGTGGAGACATGCCCGTAAAGTCCACCTGACTAGGCAACCTACTGTCAAAAGAGCCAACTTTTTAAAGCATGATCTCTACCTATGAGGTTTTATATTCTTAGAGAACAGTGAGAATTAAAAATCCAGCTTACTGCATGTTATTTATGCCCTTAATTATTTAAATTTCATTATTATTACTTTTATCCTTATTTCTCAAACCAAGAGAAATGTATTTCATTTTCATATTCTCTGGGCCCTAGTATTTGGGTTGCAAACACCATAGAGGAAGGTTATCTAAAATATAATTTTTCTGCCAAGTTTTAGTCAAAGGACCCTTTCTTCAACATCGTCACATCAGTACCCAGACTTTAAGAATAGATTTGTTTAATCACAATTTGGAAAATTATACTGCAATTGCACATGGGAAAAATTGGGATTACCACAATCTCCTAAACCAGATATTCTGGATATCTTTGGAGTGATTTCACAGAGCAGTCTAGGAAATGAATCCTCAGTATCTTTCCAGACCCTAACACCCTAGAGTGCCCACTGTCCTTCTAGAACTGCAGGAAATGACACTGGCTAAAACTCAAAGGCAACTCTACATTTGTTCCCTTCTGATATTGCTGTGATGCCATTGATATAGGAAGCTCTATTCAAACTGTGGAAAAGTTATATGGAAAGGAACTTGAAAAATCCTTCAGAAACCTTATATTCTACATAGATTGTGGTATCCTATGTCATCTCATTCACCACATGCTGGGTAAGATTGTATAATTGGTTACTGGTTTATTGATGGTGTGGTGATACACAGGACCCTCTCTGGCCTTTTAGCTGTGACATATATATGAATAAATATTTTAAAATAATGTCATAGCTTTCCATTACAAACTTTTTTGGCCATCTCCCTTTGCTTAAGTCATCACAGGCTATTTGTAAGCCCCTGTGCCCTGCAAGACAAACTGAACAGAAATATTTAGGGGCCCCAGTATCAATGGCAGAAGGCAAAAAGATGATAAGACTCCATCAAATAATTGACTGAGCAGTCTGTTGGCACAACACTCCTATCCCCGAGCAGTGGCTGAAACCTCTTTGATGCAATTGATCTCTTCAGTTGGTATGCTGATCAGGCCCATCATCCCAATGAGGCAGAAGTGCTTCAGCCTCATATTGCAGAAGATAGTAAGTTTATGAAGAAATTATCACCACCTCACCAGCTTCTAACTTATTCCAAATACCAGATTCATAGGGTGATTAGCTGTATGGATGGAACCAGAAATCGAATAAGCTGGTTTCAGGAACTGCCACAAAACCTATGAATTCCTAAGTCAGTTTAAAAGAATCATCTATGCAGATCTCACTTGGATTTTTCCAGAGTCCTTAAAACATTAAAAGTCTTAAGTTACAGTTGTATATTAAAGGTATCCTTTTCAAGGAGGTAAGAGGAATATAAGGTGTGGAGGTGGAAGGAAGGAAAGATATAGATATAGAGAGGAAACCTGTTTCTCTAAATCTTTCCCCTGCACTGAAAAGGTACCCACCTGTTAAAATGATGGAGGTAGAAATGTAGGAAAACCAAGCAAAAAAGTCACAGGCAACTTATTAAAAAAAGTAATCTACACTTTGCAGTTTATACCCACTTCAAAAGTTAGCTGGCCTCATAACTAGTTTATTCATAGTTTCCAGAGAAAAACAGCAGAGCTTAGCAGCACAATGAAAATACTGGCAAGTGCACCACTATCAAAATTGAACTTTAGATGACATCTTATACTGAAACTAAATTCTGAGACTTACAATACATCACGTGCATTTTGATTTTCACCACTGACATCAGCAAAAGCTTTGCTGATGACCGATTGGCAAAGGTTCAGAACTTTCCCTCTCTACAGAAAGGATGCGGTTCATTTCTCTGCTGTAAAGGATATAAAATCCTTCAGGCTGTTTAACCAGATAAGGACTGCTTCATTTAAAACAAGGGGCATAAAAACTATTTTGGGATCCAAAAAACCAAAACACAAACCAAGAACAATTAAAGCTTATGATTTTTAAGCCTAAAATACTACACCATGACTAACAAGAAATAGGTTTTACCTGGTGTTGTCATGATGAGGGTTAGAAGAAGTGGTAGCAGATGACCCACCACGTAACACTGGCCTAGAACAGGTTTTTGTAGGTAGGAGGCACAAGACAGAACCAGAAAACAACATAAAAACAGAGAGAAGAGGTAAAAAACACAAGGACAAAGAAATGTCAAAATATTTCCAGTTATATTCTATAGTATTTTAATACAATATAGTATCTAGTTAAAAGGAGATTTTATAGTGCATTTTCAGAATACTCATTTTGTAATCATGTATTTAATATAGCACTAAGAATTGTCAAATCCAATATATTTTTATTGGTATAGAATGGTTATGGGGAGAAACACTTGAGAGAAAAGTTTGTGAATAAGAACAATGATAGCAGCTTTAAATTATAATTATGGGAAACTTAAGAACAGAAAATAGACAGCATCACTATAGAAAAAAAATACATGTTCACACAGTTCATGGGCCTTTCTTTAGCCATCTTATTTGGCTAAAGTTCCTCTTCTCCCACTCACTTAGCCTTCTATACTCTCACACCCCCAAGAGCTCCATCTCAGCAGAAAATAAAGATCCAGGACTTCACTCATTGCCACTACTGTATCCACCAGGCTTGTGCCTGATGGACAGGCAGTAAGACTAATTCCAGAAGGCCTACCGACTTAAATGGGAATGATGAGTGTTCTCCACTATAGAAAATGAGGCTCAAAGTATCATTACTGCCTGCTGCTGTACATAGGCTATACACAGTTAACTGGGCTCTTTTCCACCTTTCCTTTCACTTATGCTAATTATAGATAACAGGACCTCACAACTACCTTAAGTATAGCCTGAACTCTCTAAGAGTACTAAAGATACCAGGTATGAAGGTATTTAGGATAGAGGTGTACAGACAAAGGGGAAGATGCAGTCCACAGGATGTGAGCAGCACTGTGCAAAAGCATCCCAATTTATTAAGAGGATCAAGAGGATTAAGACTGAACGGTACATTTAGAGTTATGCCCTGAAACTTGCACAGTGCTTACTTGCTGTAAGGCTGGCTCACATCAGCACTACTAATGTTCCATTTGCATAAGCACTAAACTTACCCATACTGCAAACCAACTGCAAATGAAGGAAGTTATTTTACTAACCTCCCTCCTCCCCTCACACCAAACCAGAACACCACCTAACAGGAGAATGGTTTTTCCCGAATCAAGTGAGGTCCATTGTATTCAGTAAAGTGACATTGTTCCAGTTCAGGAGGTGGTGTTTTTAATGCGTTTATAAAAGGATAGGAACTCCCTTTTCCATTTATCTCAGACCACCAGTCCTTATACCTTAACTGGCAGAAGCCAGAGCTAGATAAGTGTAAGAAGGGATAGGCTGTCCAGATAGAAAGTTTCCTTCCAACTCCAGTTAGAAGTGGGCTTATATCCAGACTTCAACCTTCATGGTTGAAATCCATTACACATCTTTAATCCAACCTATGTAGCTTGCACTGTCCTCATTATTTCAAATCCAAGGAATTTCAGTCTTTCTAATCCTGACTGCCAAAACAAGTTGTGGCAACCTTAGTTCTGCAGTAACTAAAAAAGTGTTTTCTAAAAGGTCATTTTGAAACACCTTACATCTGAGAGAGAACTATTGCTTGCATGGAGATAGCCATCTGAGAGCATTGTGAAGAATGGAAGCCAAACCTCCATAGGTTCTTATCCAATCTAAATCCTAAATTTTAATTTGTGGGCAAGACAATTAATGCCACCACCCATATTAGTCAAGGAATATTTGAAAAGCTTCAAGTGAATTAATTTCCTGTGCAATTCAGTTTGTTAAAAGAACCACTAACATTTTTCCCCTGCCACATCAAACTTGATTGCAGACATCAAAAGAAGTAATAATCACTCCAAATACAAAACTGCTTGCATAGAACTCAGAAGCCATTAAAATATTACTACACAAGATCATTTAACTATTACAAATAGTTATTACTTTATTTTATAAAATATGATCCACAAATACATATTTGATCTGGTTAGTAAGTTTTTACACAGGCTTCCTTAGTGATTGGAATAGTTTTTGTCACAATAACAACTGTTTACTTGAGTATTTATTTTGTCTATTACATAAATAAATATTTAATATCACAATCAGAATTAGATGTGTCCCTGAAGCCAGGTGTACTTCATGCTACATGTTTCAGGACATACATAGTGGAATATGGGAGGGAACCATGCTACAAGGTGCTGCCGCATGATTGGTGGGGGGAAGAAGGGAATATGGCAGTGCAATGGCTAAATGAGTTTGCTCTTGTCCTCCCTCTGTCTGGGACAGCACATTTTGGGATATATATCACAGCAATAATGCAGTCATGCACACATGGATTTAGGGAGGAAGAGAAAGAAAAGTAATCCGAGTCAAATGTCTAGGCATTCAGATTATTTCATATGAGTACACAAATTTAGGGCACTGACAGAAGTGACATTTGTTGTGCAAATGGCCCCTTGAAAGCTCTCTACAGCCATACTGACAGAAGTGTATGGCTGCAGAGCGCTTTAAAAATACCCAATCACACAACAAATTAACATTCATCTAATGATGGTTCAGATGAAGGTGCTCCAAAGCAGACCACTTCTGTCTGATCGGGGCGGTGCTGTCTGCAGGACCTGGGGGGGGTGGAGGGGTAGCAGGTGAAGTGGATTGAAGCTCCCCCACCTCATGGCTCCCCCTCCCCCTTCAGCTCAGCCTGGGCAAACCCCAGCCCAGAGCTCCTTCCCCTCTGTTCTCCCTCCTCCCATTGTACAGACAGCACAGGAGCTGGAGGGGGGAGAGGTGGGGCTAGGGGAGAGAGGCTGCAAACAGGCAGCCTCTCTCTCTGCTAGAATGGCTCCAAAGTGAAGCATGATCCCCCCCGCCCAAACTCATGTGAAGTATCATGAGTTAGAGTGGGGAGCTGCACATCTGTCAGCAATCCTTGTGATCTTTAAAGATTCTAGCTGGACACCCCTGGAGACCAACAGCTTCTCACAATCCATGAGATAACAGATGTCAAGTAAGGTTCTCTATGCTGATCTGTTGTGTATCTAAACCAGCAATTCTCAACCAGCATGCTGAGATCTTTTGGAGGATGATGAGGTGAAAGACGATAAGCAAGCAGATAAGTACAGACTCAAGATCCTCCCTGCCTGGCTGCTGCCATGTCCCCCACAGCCTGGCTCTTCTTCAAGGAGGTAAACACTTTAATAAATTAGTTTTTTCAAATGCTTAGTTCACAAGTTATGGAGGGGTGCCTTGAACCCAAAAAGTTCTGAACTACCGATCCAAAGCTCGACCTGGAAATCTTACAGGGGGTGAGTTAGGGTTATCAGATGACTGGGGCTGTGTGGAAGCAACCTGGAAGTGAACCAGGTAAGAAACTGCTCCAATTTATTATTTATGGTTCCATCAGAGAGGAAGTTACTGATGAACTACAGGCAAAATAAAGTTACTTTCCTCTTTTTTTCTCCTAGTGCCACCAAGAAAGACCTTCAAGTGCAGAAACATTAGGCTACTACAGCTCCATGCTGTGCTCTCCAAGCAGCTATGGCACTCCAGACCCCCCACCAGTCTAATCTTTTTCCCCATACACAAATCTTCTCTTAACTCCAAGTCACCCCCAAATCCCACGTGCCTTTCATTCACCATCTTTTATCTTATCTCAGATCCCAGATCCGACGAGTTCAATCAGCTAATCTTAATATAACTACAATCTTGTGCCAAATAATTTAAAAAAAAAAAAAAAAACCAAACAGCCAGCATCTGAGATGATGTTGTGACACTGCCATTTTGGGGAATGAAAGTTACTTAGGTAAGGAATCCTAAACAAACTTTACTTCAATAGAAAAATCTTTGGGCTGTCTTATGAAGAGACAGCAGGTCAAGTGTGAAGACCAAATTCAAATAAGTAAGGTCAAAACCCAACTCACTCTTAATTATATCTCCATTATACTGCTATCTTTTGGGTGATGGTATTATGAAAACAGATTAACCTGTACCTTGATCAAATTTTTGGCCCCAAGTTTAAATTGTGTTAAAAAACCTAACTATGCTGAAACAAACAAATCTCCTACAGTATTGAGAACAAAAAAACTGAGGTACTACACAAGATGTGAAAAGTGAAACTCACTATATGTTAGAGGTGCACTGATACATCAGTCCGATATCAGATAGTCACTGATATAAAGAAAATTGACTATATCGGAAATTGGCCTGATGTGGCTCATAATTTGGCCAATAAATGCCCATATATGCGCGCAGCTGCAGCGCAGCATGCAAGCAGTGAGGAGCACAGCCCGGCAGTGGGGAGAGCTGCGTGCAGCTGGTAAGTCTGTTGTGCTGAAAGGGGAGGGAAGGGGCGTGGGGGTGCAGATCAACACCCCCCACAGTGAGGGAGGGAGTGGGGCTGGTGCTGCCCGGACAGGGATGGAGCATTAGCTTGCACGTGGCTTGCACTACTGCCTTTCCCCCAGACTGGCAGCGAGGCGGCCCCCCCCGACGAACCACAGCTCTTGTCCCGTGCCTGCCCCAGCTGGGCAGTGCCTACCCTACCCTAGCCCTACTCCTTCCCTCACCATGGGGGGCACTGATATGCCCCACCCCCCACAGCCCTTCCTTCCCCCCTCCCCTTTCACCACCACAAACTACAGCTGCATGCAGCTGTATTGGAAATAGGACTGGTATCGGCCAATATGCCTTCTTAAAAATCGGCTATCTGTATCAGCCCCCCAAAAACTCTATTGGTGCACCCCTACTACATGCAAGTAAAACTGACCTATTTTTACTGTCCAAGCTGAATGAAATGCAAGGACAGACTGACAATATAAATGAAGTGAGAATCAATTTGTCCTCCCTGTTTAAACAGTCTAAGTAAATTAGTTATATTGATAACACTACGAGTAGTTTTCTTACCTACAGCAGCATGAAGGGCGACTACTATTAATACTTTTAGTAGACTGAAACATAATTGGAAAAAATATTTTCAGAGAAAAGCAAGCCAATACAAAAGTAAAGAGTATTTCCAGTAAAAAGCACATAATTACAGCTTGCTCATTTTAAAAGATTTCATCCAGTATACAAATATTAAAATAGAACAAATATGCTTTAAGTACACAGAGAATGCTATGCCTATACAGCGAGAAGATATCTGAAATCTTTTTAAATGATCAATATTTTGCAATAATGCAAGCAGATAATCCAAATTTCACATTCCTACTTTAGTCACGGAATGGACTAGAACTAAACAGCTGAAAATATTTACTCCAAAAGAATTAAATACATTTTATCTAATCAATATTTTATAAAAGTGAACTGTGCCAAAAATCAGAGGTGGATAGCAATTGTTTCCAGTCTCTTCCATGGCTTTCAATATTACATGTCAAAATTAAAACACCCAAATATTCAAAGCCTTGGAAACTTGTCAGCTAATTTGTGTAGTGAGCAAGAAAGAAAAATATTAGCAGCAGGTTCTAGTTTTCATGTATCCAAGAAAATATGAGCTAAACCCTGTTGAACTAAAATCAACAGCAAATCTCACTGACTTCACTGGGGGAAGAATTTCACAGCCCATATTTTTTAAACAGAAGTCTTCTGCATCATACACACTTTTCTGTACTATTTAGCATAGATGGGAGCAAACCTGGGGGCAAAAACTTTGCAAAACTGAAACAACTAGCATTGTCTGACCTCTTATCAATACTAATAGGTGGATAGATAGGAATGATTTAGTTCGCCTTTCTGACAGGTGATTAATTCTGGCAAAAATAACAACCTGGATGCCCAAGTATTAAAGGGAATTAGGTGACCATCTCAAATTCAGCAGATATTAGCCATCTAATTAATTACTCAAGCTTTCTCCAAAAATCCCAGTCTATCAGTACAGGATCAGTAAGTCGGAAGCGCTGCACAGATATATGATCTTAAAGTAGGTGACTCAATGTTATCACACTAGCAACTCTGCTCAGCTGAAGGGCAGAACGGCAGTTTGAAAAACAACAACACGTGCATGCACATGTGTGTACATGTATGATAAGACTAACTTGATGGTTGCATTTCCTTATTGAAATAAATTTAGAAAAAGGTTCACTTAACACTAATGTACCCTAGAAAAAGTTCCACAGAAGTGATAATACCCAAAGGCAGAATGCAATTTTTTAAAGAATTCCTCGGTGCAAAGCCTAGAGGGTGATTACAAGGATGCCTCAATTATCATTCCAAGTGCTTTTGGATCAGCACCTCAGCAAGAACTGCAGGCAGGCTACGTGCATTTGTTACTAGTACCTCTACACCCCTTCCAAGTAAAGGAATAAGTTACTAAATTAAACTTGCCAAGGGATATTCAACTGCTAAATGCTTTAATCTTAAAAAATAAGAATAAAAAACAAATTAAGAATAAAAAGGTCAAATTCTAATGAAGTTGGGAAGTGCGAGCAGGCAGAATTTTCCAGAGACCAGTGGTGTTCCATCTATCAGGGCTCATTTTGGCCCTAAAAACTAGCTCATGAATAAGGAGCTTCTTCATAAATATGTAAACTTATTACAATAATACACTTCTCAGTAACAAGGCAGCACACAAGAAGCTACTCTCAAAACAGCAACCAGAATATAGCCTTTCCCTAACAGTACACTTATCACCTATCACTCTTGAATAAAACTGAGGAGAAAAAAAATGACAGGCAGCAGCATTTGTGTAGTATGAAAGTTAATTGGCTAGAATAGTCCTTGACATAGCCTAGAGATGTTCTGTCATTATTTCCAAAAAAGCTGTAGGAAAGAATTTTGCTTGCCTGCTCCTTAATATCTGGCTTAGTGAATCATGACATCATCAACCAAATCTCATCAATTCTCTCTCATACTTAGGACCAGCAGTAACATATAGGAGGTTATAATAAAATCTGCAGACTTGTGATCCACAGACTACAGAAAACAAACACTTGTAGAGCTCTGCTTATGTGCTGTTTACAATCCCAGATCAATGCTTCCTATTTTAATTTTTACTAAGACGAAAACCAAAACTAATGATTAAATATCATATTTGGTTGAAGCAAGTTACTAGATAATGAAGTCTTATGAAATGTGAATTTTGGACAGTTAAATTGCTTATGAACAAGGAAAGCAAAATAAAGCAAAGCAAAGCAAAGCAAAGAATTTCATCTCATTATTTAGTAAACAGAAACCACATTCCACTAAAAAGGGGGAGGAAAGAAAAAGCAGTAAAAGCTGGCAGAATCACTGATGACCAATCACCTGCGATTTTCATCCAGCACATCCAAGACCTGCTGGTAAGCCCTACGAGTGGAAGTCTGGATAAGCGACAAAATGCCACGAGCAGAGTAAAGATTAGTTCCATCTTCGGGTAACATATTGGGAGGACAGACACGAGCCTGTTGTAGTGATGGTGTCACACTGTACATATAAGCATAGTAAACGAAGAGAGAAATACTGTAGTCAGACTTTAAATAAAGAAATTCTTCAGCTAGTCCCAGTTCCCAAATTCAAGTTGATTCCATTTGGTCTTACCATCCTCCCATCAAAACCAGGCAAGCATATCAAAAGTCATTAGTAGAGGGAACATGAATAAACATTAATGCATGCTTTTAGGAATTAAATATTGCAAAGGGTGATTTCAGTATAGTTATACAGGATAAGATTTTCAAAAGCCCTCACTATTCATTAACTGCCACCAACTATAGGCAGTGGTAAAATTCCCACTGACATTAAAGCGGCAGTGTTTGCCATCTGTTTTTGAAAATTCCACCCCTAAATTCTTTTGAAAGTACTAATTAAAAGAGAATTGTTTAACAATTCAGCAATGATAACTTGATAATTCCACAATAACTGAAGCAGAAGTCTTAGCTTTACATTGTGATTGAAGAGCAAGATTGAGATAGCATTTTGATTTTCATGTGTCCAACCAATAAGAACAAAAAAATTAAGAGAAATAGTCAGTAGTCAGAATAAAGACACAAAATTAATCTTTCATAGGCAACAAAGTGCATGAACTAAACTCCTGACTGTTATACCAAAAAGTGCACAGTTTAAAATGTAAGCATTAGTATTGATTTTTTCCATAATATGCAAGGTTAAAGAAAGTCTGGTTCACTTTACTCTTCACATCCTAGGATACTTTTTAATATAAGACAATTCCTCATGGCTAACACTGGATACACTTCCCTGGATCTCTTTTGCACCTCATTTCAAAGGAAGTTGAGGTTAGATATTAGGAAAAGCTTTTTCACTAGGATGCTAGGAAAACACTGGAACAGGTTACCCAGAGAGGTTGTGGAATCTTCATCCTTGGAGGTTTTTAAGACCTGGCTAGACAAAGCCTTTGCTGGGATGATCTAGTAGGGGATGGTCCTGCATTGGGCAGGGAGTTGGAATAATAGATGACCTCCTGAGGTTCCTTCCAAATCTAATTTTCTATGATTTCTGCTTTACTCCTGCCGTATTTTGAGCCCAGCTCCCAATATTCCTGCTTTTTTCCCCCCCATAATTCCCAGGAAACTGCTAAACTCACACTCAGTATTAATAGTGGGAAATAGGTTACTTGCTGGTTGGACTGACTGGGTCAGAGAATGCAGATGTTTAGTTATTCTAAGAACTGTAAGGAATGTAGCTGTTCTGGTTATTGACTGGTGCCAAGATTACACCTTTTGTCTGACAGAAACAAAATGAAGCTCTACTGAAACATGCACGGGTGTTGCTCTGCTCCTAAAGCTGTACAGGAGTGCGTAGGTGGTACAACATTCCAAGATATTTGCACTTCAAATTGGTCTGTAAAATATTTATGCAAAAATTTAACACAGCAGAAATAAAAACATTGGCGAGCATCTATTTCATAATCTTAAGGTGTCTGTCGTGTTCTTCGTGCTTGAAAAGATCATCTATACTTCCTTGTTTTTATATTTAGGATTACTGTTATTTTGGGATTAACAGCATTAGTCACTGCAACCATGTTCCATTTTTGCTTTGCATGGTCACCACATATCATAATATCCACTGATAAAAACAACTGAAGAGATAGCCAACTGGGCCAGACAAAGAGATTCTGCCCCGCCAGCAAATTTGTAAGGCAATTTATTCCCATCTGGAATTTGCAGGGTTGAGGGAGAAGGGAAGGATATCAAAGCACAGGAGGCTTCAGATCGAATGTCATTGCTCTTGGTCCTAATGAAAGGATGTGATTTAAGTCAACCCAAATGGAAATGGATAGGCGATAGCTTTCAAAAGGCCACAAAAGTGCAGAGCTTGGACACAAGACAACTAGAGAACATTGCTGACACTCCAACCCTCCAGCCTGCAATCAGCGATGTTATTTCTGTGTGAAAGCTTCTGTAAATATTTCACAAGAATCACTGAACTGAAATGGCAACAATGCCTTTAATGTTCTTCTGCATCAACAGCTGCACTGAATAAAGCTGAAGCTCTCACAAGGAAGATAAAGGCAGAGTTAAGAATAAATAATAGATTCTGGAGGTACATGACTCTTAACCCTATGATCCAATCAGTAGAATGCTGTGCTCTATCCAGCCAGTTTGGGACTCTGAACTGCACTACTAATTTATAGTGGTTTGCAAGACAGAGTCTTAGAGACTATTCACATCAAAAGGTCTATTTTCTCCTGAATGTGAGCCAAACTACCACAAGCTGGAAGAATATTCTTATTGACATTTCTAAAAACAAGGCAATCATTACCTTTTCTCTTTCCC